TCAAAGAAAAACCGAATAGAAGAAAACATGGCTGATGTAGCCCAGCTTTAAACAGATGTTGTAGGGTTAATCATCTAAACACGGTCGTCTGACCTAAAGACGTATCTACTAGCCCTTTCGGAGATTTAAGCTTCAACCGTTTTTTGTGAGGGGTTAGTGCTGCACAGTTGATTTTACTTTCTAAATTGTTCATGTTGTTCTTTATGGACTATTGCTTGTCTATTCGTTTTTGTTTTTGTTTGATGCAATGGCTTTGTTTGTTTTTCTTTGACGTAAAAGGTTAGCACAACCAACACAGGTAATAGACGGTTGTTCTGTTGCGCTCCCGGCCGGTCGCACAAACACCTAGATATGACCATATGTTTATACCCTTGTCAACCCTTTAGGTCAGTTCAGATACGTAAGTATCGAACAGAAAAGGATAACTTAAAGAAGGTATAGATAAAGTTTAGTGAAAGAACAACTCAACGACATAAACCAAAACTATATCAAACGCTAAAATCATCAATGTGTATTTAGCTTCGTTTATCTTAAGATGTGTTGTTACACCACTGTTTAAGGTTTGTGCTTGTATAACAGGAGACGATTACCTTGTTGACGTATCAGCTCTCTCCTTTTGAAGTTTATGCTGTTACTTTAGTTTGTTTCTTGTCTTGTTTTGTATCTTCTTAACTTATTTATGAAATTTGAATATTTGTGAACTATTGGTGTCTGTTATTAGTCAATGATCGGAGAGTATTATGCCATACTGATCGGTAGATTTTTTAAAGTATGCCTGTTTGAACGGTAGAATAATCAGATATACTAGATACATTGTAAGACCATACCTCGTTATACATATTTAGATATAAGAAAAATTCCTTTGTTGATCTTTGGATAGATCAACACAAGTACGAATCAATTCATTTTTGTCTCGAGTAGATAATACCATATCACGTTATTTTTTTAGTGTGACAAAAAGCTGTATTTAATAATGAGTTGCACCCTGATAGAATGAATATTGTTCAAAATACTTTCGGAAATAATGTATAATATATTATTGAAAAATCGCCTAGTTAAAGTCTGCTATTGTTCTTGAATCAATATAAGAGATCATCAAGTGCATTATTAATTCGATGTCAATGAGCATACTTTTGAAACTAAACTAAAAAAAAAATCCTCCTTTGTCAAATCAAAAAATACAGATATTGTCAATTAGATAAGTCAGTGTTACAACGTAGACACTATTCTGTATTGTTTTTTTTAGAAAAAAAGTGCTACAATATATAAATAAAGGCAATAAGTAGTTTAGCGGTGTTCAAAAGTCATAAATCGATTGAGAGAAAACAAATCAGTGGGAAAGCCAGTGACATTGAAGAGTTCCTTTCAGTGGTCACGCGGGAAAGGGGACATAATCGAAAAATTTCGAGGTGGCGCTGTAATCAGCTTGTAAACAAAAACGTAGCATGCGATTCAGACAATAAATTTATCAAAACGACTTATCATTCAACAGTATTTGCAGTTTAATTTTCATCAGAATAGATTTTGTTAAACGACTGCCAAAAAAAATAAATAAAATAATTGGTTCGTTATTGAAATATGACAAATAAAGTTTCGACCTCCGTTGACTTCCAAAAAACCGCGGGTAATACCCCCGTCTGGAAATAACTGACACAATTGCATCCTAAAGCTTTTCATTGGTTGAGATATAAATACATGTGACCCAGATAGATAAAGGCACATGACTATACCAAGAACTTCCCGTCACTCTTTGTCTTGTTTACATAATTAACGCTTGAACAGGAGGTTAAAAATAGACATTTTTCAGGCGTTTTTGGAGTTATTTCATCGCAAAATGGAGCACAAGATCTATAAATTACCCGTTTTAAACCACGAAAAAGATAAGGACAATGAAATATGATGATGTTTTCTCGAATTCAAATATATTTTATTTAAAAGTGGTGAAATGTTGCTTTGTTTCGTCTTTTGTTAATCTGTTCCTTGTTGCCCAGACTCTTAGTATCAATTATTGTCATTTGGTATTTAATCATTATGCAGTATGTAACATATTAAGGTACTACACTGAGACTTGTTTTGTGTATGACTGGATTTCGTTATTATTTCAGTTGTCTGGTGGTGCCCCCCTTCCTACTTTCAAGAAAATGAAAACCTTAAACACATGCCAGGTGAAAAACCTTAGCTAATCTCAGATTCTCTACACAACGTACTAAAACAACATATTTACATGCAAGCCAGGAAATCTTTGATGTTGTGTTGTATACATTAATATTAAAATACAGAATTGAACCAACCATTGAAGGATCCCAACAAATTTGGATCCACTATATTAAATGGGTCTTATTGTTCTTATTCAGAACTTGAACATTTTAGCAATATGTTCACAACTCATGAGATTGAGTTATCTGTATTCATTTATCCCGAGATCAACAAAATATAGACTGGCACTGTGACTTGAAGAACCAGTCTGATGAGTCAATCCCTTTTCACTTGATTTTTTAGGGTCTGTTCTTGTTAAACAAATCTGTACCAGACTAGTGGGAAGGTTACACTCCCACATTTGTTTATATGTGCCTATCCTTATCAAGGAATCTGTTAGACACTACACCATTCATTTTTAGGGGTGTATAGGACTGTTACTATTGAAACAAAAATTGTTTTAATCAATCAGCAGGAATACTCAAAGCCAAGAACACACAAGTCTCAATTCATGTAAAAGCTGTATATGACTAATAGGGAAATAAAACAAAGGCCAAATTGCTTCTAAGATCAAACTTGAAGATGCTTTGTATATGTCTCACTGATTTTAGTGATCCTGTTTTATATTATTAGAATTGGTGTTAAACCCATATCTCTTATTTCACACTATTCTTTCTACATGTCTCTCATGGTGGACATTTTAGGTACTGTAAATTAAGAAATGATTGTGAAGTTTTTATTAATGCAATAATGTGACTGGGTGAATATCCCATCAAAAAGAACTTATATTCCGATAGCTTATCAATCTGATTTAAATACAGATCCTATGTCCACGCTTTCGTTACAAGGAAGCAAAGCTTGGACACAGGATATATATCTTAATCAGATTCATATATCTGTGTACAGATTTTCTTGAAACAACAATATTTAATCTTACATTTTAGTTCATTCTTCAAAAATAGCAATAATAAATGCACACAATAATTTGTAAATTTACAGTATTAAAAAACCAAGGGTTTACAAAATCATGTGATCACATGTGGGAAAAGACCACTTGGGCATATCATTCTTAATACTACATTTTGAGCAGGATCAGCTGTCTCATCCAGAGCACCTGAGATCACCTGTATTTTTGTGGGGTTCATGTTGCTCAGAGTCTTTAGTGATCCATGTTGTAAAGTAGACACATGTTTGTCTTGTCATCTTTATTTTTTTGTGATGGCTTTATCCATTGTTTTCAACTTGCAAGTTTGATTGCCCCTTTGTATCTTCCGCCTTTGTATATCAGTAATACATTGAAACTTGACCATGCAATGCAATATATTGCATGCATATCCTTGACTTGTGATTAAACATGCCATATTAAAAGTGAAATGACCATTAATGTTGATAGATTATTAATGTAAAACAAATTGGAAAATCAATCAGGCTGAACATTGGATACAACTGTTTTGCACTGATTATTTTACCATTTATACAATGGTCTTGGTGGATGGTTTGGATATGGGTGATTGAAATTACTTGTTAATACCTAGTTTATCAAAATAGAACACTAAAGCATACATAAGATTCAGTTTTTATTAAACTAAAAAACAAAAGAGGAAAACAAATTGAAAAAAAATGAAAAAAGAAAAAATACACCAGCTACATTATCAACCTTCAACATATTTATTGTTTAATATAAGAAAGTAATAAAAGTCCTTTTCAATATTCCATATAAAAATAAAGAATGTGGTATGATTGCCAATGAGACAATGTCCTTTTGTATCAGTCCTATGGATCATAATCTTTCCATTTTGAATACTGTGTTAAATATCTAAATGCACACCATTTTAATGAAATAATTTTTAAACAGCTTTGTAACCTTGTAAAGTATTTTTTTTTGTTAGTTTCAAAAGATGAATTAAATTCCTATTCAAACTTGAAACATATTTGTTCTAAAATAATTTCTGGTCATATTGGCTTGAAAAAGCCAGAAAACCAGTCGACATATAGCGGGTTGCAATTGGCAAATAAAACCATTTCTCTCTTAGTCTGATAAGTTGCAGATAATTTAGTCACTGTACTTAACAAATGAATGTCAACATAAAAACTACAAACTGAATGACTAGCATTCATACACGAAACATACAGATATGGAATGACCAGCATTCACAATTATAGGTACTTAGGGTGTAAAATACCGTCTTTCCCCAAACAACACAAAATGACTAGCATTCACAATTATAGGTAGTAGGGTGCAATACCGTCTTTCCCCAAACAACACAAAATGACTAGCATTCACAATTATAGGTACTTAGGGTGCAATACCGTCTTTCCCCAAACAACACAAAATGACTAGCATTCACAATTATAGGTACTTAGGGTGCAATACCGTCTTTCCCCAAACAACACAAAATGACTAGCATTCACAATTATAGGTACTTAGGGTGCAATACCGTCTTTCCCCAAACAACACCAAATGACTAGCATTCACAATTATAGGTACTTAGGGTGCAATACCGTCTTTCCCCAAACAACACTGAATGACTAGCATTCACAATTATAGGTACTTAGGGTGCAATACCGTCTTTCCCCAAACAACACAAAATGACTAGCATTCACAATTATAAGTACTTAGGGTGCAATACCGTCTTTCCCCAAACAACACTGAATGACTAGCATTCACAATTATAGGTAATTAGGGTGCAATACCGTCTTTCCTCAAACAACACAAAATGACTAGCATTCACAATTATAGGTACTTAGGGTGCAATACCGTCTTTCCCCAAACAACACTGAATGACTAGCATTCACAATTATAGGTACTTAGGGTGCAATACCGTCTTTCCCCAAACAACACAGAATGACTAGCATTCACAATTATAGGTACTTAGGGTGCAATACCGTCTTTCCCCAAACAACACTGAATAACTAGCATTCACAATTATAGGTACTTAGGGTGCAATACCGTCTTTCCCCAAACAACAGAAAATGACTAGCATTCACAATTATAGGTAGTAGGGTGCAATACCGTCTTTCCCCAAACAACATAAAATGACTAGCATTCACAATTATAGGTACTTAGGGTGCAATACCGTCTTTCCCCAAACAACACAAAATGACTAGCATTCACAATTATAGGTACTTAGGGTGCAATACCGTCTTTCCCCAAACAACAGAAAATGACTAGCATTCACAATTATAGGTAGTAGGGTGCAATACCGTCTTTCCTCAAACAACACAAAATGACTAGCATTCACAATTATAGGTAGTAGGGTGCAATACCGTCTTTCCTCAAACAACACAAAATGACTAGCATTCACAATTATAGGTAGTAGGGTGCAATACCGTCTTTCCTCAAACAACACAAAATGACTAGCATTCACAATTATAGGTACTTAGGGTGCAATACCGTCTTTCCCCAAACAACAGAAAATTACTAGCATTCACAATTATAGGTAGTAGGGTGCAATACCGTCTTTCCTCAAACAACACAAAATGACTAGCATTCACAATTATAGGTAGTAGGGTGCAATACCGTCTTTCCCCAAACAACACAAAATGACTAGCATTCACAATTATAGGTACTTAGGGTGCAATACCGTCTTTCCCCAAACAACACTGAATGACTAGCATTCACAATTATAGGTACTTAGGGTGCAATACCGTCTTTCCCCAAACAACACAGAATGACTAGCATTCACAATTATAGGTACTTAGGGTGCAATACCGTCTTTCCCCAAACAACACTGAATGACTAGCATTCACAATTATAGGTACTTAGGGTGCAATACCGTCTTTCCCCAAACAACACAAAATGACTAGCATTCACAATTATAGGTACTTAGGGTGCAATACCGTCTTTCCCCAAACAACACAGAATGACTAGCATTCACAATTATAGGTACTTAGGGTGCAATACCGTCTTTCCCCAAACAACACTGAATGACTAGCATTCACAATTATAGGTACTTAGGGTGCAATACCGTCTTTCCCCAAACAACACAAAATGACTAGCAGTCACAATTATAGGTACTTAGGGTGCAATACCGTCTTTCCCCAAACAACACAGAATGACTAGCAGTCACAATTATAGGTATTTAGGGTGCAATACCGTCTTTCCCCAAACAACACTGAATGACTAGCATTCACAATTATAGGTACTTAGGGTGCAATACCGTCTTTCCCCAAACAACACATAATGACTAGCATTCACAATTATAGGTAATTAGGGTGCAATACCGTCTTTCCCCAAACAACACAAAATGACTACCATTCACAATTATAGGTAGTAGGGTGCAATACCGTCTTTCCCCCAAACAACACTGAATGACCAGCATTCACAATTATAGGTACTTAGGGTGCAATACCGTCTTTCCCCAAACAACACTGAATGACTAGCATTCACAATTATAGGTAGTAGGGTGCAATACCGTCTTTCCCCAAACAACACTGAATGACTAGCATTCACAATTATAGGTACTTAGGGTGCAATACCGTCTTTCCCCAAACAACAGAAAATGACTAGCATTCACAATTATAGGTAGTAGGGTGCAATACCGTCTTTCCCCAAACAACACTGAATGACTAGCATTCACAATTATAGGTACTTAGGGTGCAATACCGTCTTTCCCCAAACAACACAGAATGACTAGCATTCACAATTATAGGTACTTAGGGTGCAATACCGTCTTTCCCCAAACAACACTGAATGACTAGCATTCACAATTATAGGTACTTAGGGTGCAATACCGTCTTTCCCCAAAAAACACTGAATGACTAGCATTCACAATTATAGGTAGTAGGGTGCAATACCGTCTTTCCCCAAACAACACAGAATGACTAGCATTCACAATTATAGGTAGTAGGGTGCAATACCGTCTTTCCTCAAACAACACAAAATGACTAGCATTCACAATTATAGGTAGTAGGGTGCAATACCGTCTTTCCTCAAACAACACAACATGACTAGCATTCACAATTATAGGTACTTAGGGTGCAATACCGTCTTTCCCCAAACAACACTGAATGACTAGCATTCACAATTATAGGTACTTAGGGTGCAATACCATCTTTCCCCAGACAACACATAATGACTAGCAATCACAATTATAGGTACTTAGGGTGCAATACCGTCTTTCCTCAAACAACACAGAATGACTAGCATTCACAATTATAGGTACTTAGGGTGCAATACCGTCTTTCCCCAAACAACACATAATGACTAGCATTCACAATTATAGGTAATTAGGGTGCAATACCGTCTTTCCCCAAACAACACAAAATGACTACCATTCACAATTATAGGTAGTAGGGTGCAATACCGTCTTTCCTCAAACAACACAAAATGACTAGCATTCACAATTATAGGTACTTAGGGTGAATACCGTCTTTCCCGTAACAACAGAAAATGACCAGCATTCACAATTATAGGTACTTAGGGTGCAATACCGTCTTTCCCCAAACAACAAGGAATGACTAGCATTCACAATTATAGGTACTTAGGGTGCAATACCGTCTTTCCCCAAACAACACAAAATGACTAGCATTCACAATTATAGGTACTTAGGGTGCAATACCGTCTTTCCCAAACAACACAGAATGACTAGCATTCACAATTATAGGTACTTAGGGTGCAATACCGTCTTTCCCCAAACAACACATAATGACTATCATTCACAATTATAGGTAATTAGGGTGCAATACCGTCTTCCCCAAACAACACTGAATGACTAGCATTCACAATTATAGGTACTTAGGGTGCAATACCGTCTTCCCCAAACAACAGAAAATGACTAGCATTCACAATTATAGGTACTTAGGGTGCAATACCGTCTTTCCCCAAACAACACAAAATGACTAGCATTCACAATTATAGGTACTTAGGGTGCAATACCGTCTTTCCCCAAACAACACTGAATGACTAGCATTCACAATTATAGGTACTTAGGGTGCAATACCGTCTTTCCCCAAACAACAGAAAATGACTAGCATTCACAATTATAGGTACTTAGGGTGCAATACCGTCTTTCCCCAAACAACACAAAATGACTAGCATTCACAATTATAGGTACTTAGGGTGCAATACCGTCTTTCCCCAAACAACACTGAATGACTAGCATTCACAATTATAGGTACTTAGGGTGCAATACCGTCTTTCCCCAAACAACAGAAAATGACTAGCATTCACAATTATAGGTACTTAGGGTGCAATACCGTCTTTCCCCAAACAACACAAAATGACTAGCATTCACAATTATAGGTACTTAGGGTGCAATACCGTCTTGCCCCAAACAACACAAAATGACTAGCATTCACAATTATAGGTACTTAGGGTGCAATACCGTCTTTCCCCAAACAACACAAAATGACCAGCATTCACAATTATAGGTACTTAGGGTACAATACCGTCTTTCCCCAAACAACACAAAATGACTAGCATTCACAATTATAGGTACTTAGGGTGCAATACCGTCTTTCCCCAAACAACACAAAATGACTAGCATTCACAATTATAGGTACTTAGGGTGCAATACCGTCTTTCCTCAAACAACACAGAATGACTAGCATTCACAATTATAGGTAGTAGGGTGCAATACCGTCTTTCCCCAAACAACACTGAATGACTAGCATTCACAATTATAGGTACTTAGGGTGCAATACCGTCTTTCCCCAAACAACACAGAATGACTAGCATTCACAATTATAGGTACTTAGGGTGCAATACCGTCTTTCCCCAAACAACACAAAATGACTAGCATTCACAATTATAGGTACTTAGGGTGCAATACCGTCTTTCCCCAAACAACACTGAATGACTAGCATTCACAATTATAGGTACTTAGGGTGCAATACCGTCTTTCCCCAAACAACAGAAAATGACTAGCATTCACAATTATAGGTACTTAGGGTGCAATACCGTCTTTCCCCAAACAACACAAAATGACTAGCATTCACAATTATAGGTACTTAGGGTGCAATACCGTCTTTCCCCAAACAACACAAAATGACTAGCATTCACAATTATAGGTACTTAGGGTGCAATACCGTCTTCCACAAACAACACAAAATGACCAGCATTCACAATTATAGGTACTTAGGGTACAATACCGTCTTTCCCCAAACAACACAAAATGACTAGCATTCACAATTATAGGTACTTAGGGTGCAATACCGTCTTTCCCCAAACAACACAAAATGACTAGCATTCACAATTATAGGTACTTAGGGTGCAATACCGTCTTTCCTCAAACAACACAGAATGACTAGCATTCACAATTATAGGTAGTAGGGTGCAATACCGTCTTTCCCCAAACAACACTGAATGACTAGCATTCACAATTATAGGTACTTAGGGTGCAATACCGTCTTTCCTCAAACAACACAGAATGACTAGCATTCACAATTATAGGTACTCAGGGTGCAATACCGTCTTTCCCCAAACAACACAGAATGACTAGCATTCACAATTATAGGTACTTAGGGTGCAATACCGTCTTTCCCCAAACAACACAAAATGACTAGCATTCACAATTATAGGTACTTAGGGTGCAATACCGTCTTTCCCCAAACAACACTGAATGACTAGCATTAACAATTACAGAAACAGTAGTCTTTCCTTGCAGGAAGAAAATCACCAACAGTGACATTTAGAATATTTTACATTTAACGTTGACTTGCACATTCTCTTTTGTCAAAATTTGTTTCAACTGATTGTCAACAAGAAAAAAATAGTCAAGAATTTATATCCTTGAAGTTAGTACCTTTTGATCTTATTCATCAAATAGGCTCTGCTGAAAATGATAAATGTAGCTGTGTGTATATTTAAAAACAAAAATATGTTAAGGGAAAAAAAATTAATTAAAGGATGAAAAATTTAAAAATAATGTAAAAATGAAACATATGTAAATAAAAATTTAAATAATTAAAAATAAATAAGCTTCTAGAAAATAAACAAAAATACTTAGACTTTGGATGTAAATAAAAAAAAATATGTAATAATGATACATCTTAAAATATAAGAGGCATTAATGTAAAAAAGTCCATGTAAAACATCATCTAATGTCAAATAGTCCTATGTTTCATAAATCCTCAAAACTGAAATGTTCCAAGCTCTTCTTCGTTCCTATTGTTATCTGTAAATATAAGAGATACATAGTTAAGAATTATTTTCAACTTCTAATCAAGCAAGTATTAGTTACCCAGTATGAAATTATAGTCATATTTTAATTGTCTACTGAGTCCAATAATAATCACAAGTTTCACATTTCAATTTGAACGTTTCTAATTTCACTAAGACTTTTTAAAATATATTTGTAATCATCATTTTTATTAAACTGAAATAAATTTTATTGTAATAGTAAATAAACAAAAGTAATTAAGCTTAAATAGAATAAACAAAAAAGAGTTAAGACTAAAGATGTAAATAAATCATCTATGTTAATGACTTTATATGATATGTCTAAGGAGAAAAGGGGCATAATCATGATACAACTACATTATATACTCAAAGACATTATTTTATGTATTTATTAATATACTTTATCTTTAATTGACCACTTTTACATATCAATCTTTTTTATAGAAATCATGTCATATATATATTGTTATAATATATATATATATAAATAACAAAGTTAAACTTCATATTGCAACATTATATTATCAAATCTGTTGACTAAAAGGCAACAGTTAAGAATGTTACAATAATAATTAATAAAAACAATAACTCCAACAAACAATAATGCAGCCACTTAAAATTAATTTGCAGTTATTTAGATTTACTCCTAACATTACTTGTGGGGATGCCAAAGTAGTTACGTGTCTACACTGAGGTTGTGAGTTTAAACCCTCCTTGTGCGGGTTCGCTCAACTCCAATCTTAATTGACTAGGAGTAGGGTGGCTCCTAACATAGGTTCTTTCTGAGCATTCTTGCTTTAAGTACCAATAAGAATTGGCTGACACAACA